CGGCATGGCCATCCCCCCTGGGGGGTGATTTCTCGCTTTCTGTCTCTATGTCTCTCTCTGTCTGTCTGGTGAGCGCATGTTCCCTATAGCAAAAAACCTCTCCAAAAAAAAAAATATTTTATTTAACTTTATTTATTTTATTTGCTTATTTATTTTAATTTGGCACGCAAGAGAGAGCCATCAGGTCCGGGACTCGAACCGTGGTTGCCCATGTGGGAGTCCAGCGCCCTCAACCACCATGCCACCTGCCAGTCCTACACCTACGGTGTGTTTTTCAAGCTGCCGGGTCTGAGACTTGAACCATGAAGTTGGCCACGTGGGATCCAGCCTTAACCTGGCTGGTACCCGGCAATTTTATACAGAGGCAAAAAAGGTAGTCTCCATGGCACAGGAGTAATGTGTGCTGCCCACGAGAAGCCAGATCCCACATGGGCACCAGTTTGAATTCCCAGCCCGGTCAGCCAGGCACCTGTGTGAGCCCAAAGTCCCACCAAGTTAGAGCAATGGAGGAAGAGGATCGTGGCATGGCCCCATGGAGGTTGTTTCTGTTTCTCTAGTAGGTCCACACTGCTGTTACCACGAAAACAGAAAACCAGGATTAACCCACTGACAGTTCCCTTTAGACCCATTGCTATCACCTACTCCCCAGGACCCATCAAGTCTAAAACTGTCACACAGGAATTCCAGCGTAAGGCGGTCCTACTTCTCGGAGTCAAGTTTCTGCAATGGTGCTAAGTTCAATTGGGAATGCAAACAAAGTAGCAGCATTTATGTATCCGAGGGAATAATTTGAAGCTAGACTTTGTTTTGATTTGCCCTATCACATGTAGATGAATATTCACTCTTTAGTTCAGTAACATCCATGGAGTTGTATTCATTTTGTACAAAACTCTGAGTCTGGCAATGAGGGATATAAGGTTGAATGGCAAACAGAACTCGTCTTCAAAGAGTATGATGATCTAGCAAGGGACGATATAAATATATGAATAATGAGATAAGTAAGCAGAATGCTCCAAGTAAAAAAAGCAAAGTACAGGCAGGAATCCCATAGCAACGGGAACACGTTCTGAGAAAGGTGCAAGTTGATTGATCATTGTGCAGATGTAATGGTGTGCACTTCCACCAACAGTTTAGGGAAAAGGTTTACTGTGCAAACGGCTATGCACAGGTTAAACGTATACTTTGATTCCGAGCACTTTCTGAAGTGTCCGCGTGCAGCCTGCTACACCCCCAGGTTACACGGGACAGCCTGTAGCTCCCCTGTTGTGTAGGCAGACCTTGATAGTCTTCGATTGACCGCGATGTCATCACGCGTGCATGACTACATGGGGATAGAAGAGACACACAGACTACTGGCGTTTGGAAGGAAATCATACCTGTGTTAGAAACAAAGCACGTTTAGGATTTATTCATTCAATTGACCAAAGTTGGCTTTAGACAAATATAAAAGTTCATGTTGCCTTGACTATTTTGTTTACAAGATCCAACATATTTTTTTCTTCTTCTTTTTTAGACAGCGGAAGTCCAAAGGCTAGCGGAGGAGGGGATGAGCCACAGGTCCCTGCAGCTGTAGGTAGCCTCACACACCCATGTGTTTTTCATGCCTCGGTCTGAGACTCCAAATTCTTGGCTGGCCATGTGGGATCTACCAGGCCATGGGCTGGTCCAACACTATTACTTACTGAAAGAATCTAGGGGCTTCTGGGAGAAGTGCTTGATTCCAGATCTAGGGCAGAAAAGCTTAGAACTTCTTTTTTTTCTTTTTTTTTGAGAGGTTTTTCGCTATAGGACGCGTGTGCTTGCCAGATTTGCTGGACCCGGTGGCTTAAAATTCACGCCGGGCGCGTGTGCGTGCGTGCGTGCCCAAGGTCCCGAGAGGAGAATGGAGGAGAAGGGATTGCGGCATGGCCATCCCCCCTGGGGGGTGATTTCTCGCTTTCTGTCTCTATGTCTCTCTCTGTCTGTCTGGTGAGCGCATGTTCCCTATAGCAAAAAACCTCTCCAAAAAAAAAAAAATTATTTTATTTAACTTTATTTATTTTATTTGCTTATTTATTTTAATTTGGCACGCAAGAGAGAGCCATCAGGTCCGGGACTCGAACCGTGGTTGCCCATGTGGGAGTCCAGCGCCCTCAACCACCATGCCACCTGCCAGTCCTACACCTACGGTGTGTTTTTCAAGCTGCCGGGTCTGAGACTTGAACCATGAAGTTGGCCACGTGGGATCCAGCCTTAACCTGGCTGGTACCCGGCAATTTTATACAGAGGCAAAAAAGGTAGTCTCCATGGCACAGGAGTAATGTGTGCTGCCCACGAGAAGCCAGATCCCACATGGGCACCAGTTTGAATTCCCAGCCCGGTCAGCCAGGCACCTGTGTGAGCCCAAAGTCCCACCAAGTTAGAGCAATGGAGGAAGAGGATCGTGGCATGGCCCCATGGAGGTTGTTTCTGTTTCTCTAGTAGGTCCACACTGCTGTTACCACGAAAACAGAAAACCAGGATTAACCCACTGACAGTTCCCTTTAGACCCATTGCTATCACCTACTCCCCAGGACCCATCAAGTCTAAAACTGTCACACAGGAATTCCAGCGTAAGGCGGTCCTACTTCTCGGAGTCAAGTTTCTGCAATGGTGCTAAGTTCAATTGGGAATGCAAACAAAGTAGCAGCATTTATGTATCCGAGGGAATAATTTGAAGCTAGACTTTGTTTTGATTTGCCCTATCACATGTAGATGAATATTCACTCTTTAGTTCAGTAACATCCATGGAGTTGTATTCATTTTGTACAAAACTCTGAGTCTGGCAATGAGGGATATAAGGTTGAATGGCAAACAGAACTCGTCTTCAAAGAGTATGATGATCTAGCAAGGGACGATATAAATATATGAATAATGAGATAAGTAAGCAGAATGCTCCAAGTAAAAAAAGCAAAGTACAGGCAGGAATCCCATAGCAACGGGAACACGTTCTGAGAAAGGTGCAAGTTGATTGATCATTGTG